TCTTCCTTTTCTTCATCTTCATCTTGTTCTTGGTTCGTTGCTTCTTCTTCTTCTTCTCCACCACATTTTTTTTGGAGAGGAGCACCGCAAAGCCCGAGATTCTCTGTGAAAGACGAACTGTTCTGGCTCTGAATCTGAGTGGCATGTGGTATTGGACCTTCAAGCTTGTTGTACGAGAAGTTCATCCACTCTAGAAACGTAAGTTTCCCGAGCTCTGGTGGGATACTGCCGGATAATCTGTTTTGAGATAGATCCAATGATTGGAGATTGCTTAAGTTTGATAGAGACGGTGGAATTTGGCCTGTGAAAGCATTGTTTGACATGTTGAGCACAATCAGTTCCTTGAGAAGACCGATGGATTCGGGGATGTCTCCTTCGAGTCTGTTTCCCGAGACATCAATGGTTTTGTAGATTGTGAAACCACTCCCAACCAGCTCCATCATTGATCCTTTGTTTATTAAACCCACCGACTTATGATAGGAGTCTCGTTCACTTCCTGCAACTGAATACTGAATTACACTATCATCAATGTCCACGACCGATGACATTGCATTCCAAGGAGCAAAGTAATCTGATGGCAAAACTCCAGTGAAGCGATTTTCTGAAATGTCAAAGATTCGTAACCTGGGGAAACTTAGAGAATCTCCAGGAGAAGATATTGGCCCGTGGAACTCATTAGAACGAAGGACAAGAGTCTGTAGATTGGGAAACAATCTCAACCAGGATGGAAACTTGTCATTGATTCTGTTATCTTCCACGTTTAGAAACTCGAGTTCACTACAGTTGATCAATGACTTAGGAAGTTCTCCTGACAAAAGGTTGTGACCAACATCAAGGGATTGCAAGCTATGAATGATAGCTTCCTCTGGAAAAATACCAGAGAGGCTGTTGTTCCGAAGATGCAAGACCAAAAGAATTTTAGTCTCAAAACACCGAGGAATAGAACCGCTGAAGTTGTTGTTGGATAAAACAAGAGTTTCAAGAACAATCAATTTGCATATTGTCTTAGGTATCTCTCCCGAAAACCGATTATCGGAGCCTAGAAAGTGCTGGATATTGTTTGGGAACATATTTGTTTCACTACCTTCAAAATCAATTCCACTGAAGGAATTCTGAGCAATGTTTACATACTCCAATGGCAGTCTCCATAACCATTCCGGTACATGGCCTTTAATTTGATTGGCAGAGATGTCTAAATACACCAGACTGGTTTGGTTTCGTAGAAACTTGGGAAACTCAGAAATATTGCAGGACGATAAAATCAATTTCTCTATGGGTGAGGGAAGATGGAGAGTTGAGCTGAACTTCAAATTATTCCCTGATAAATCCAGCTCACGAAGTGACAGGAGAGATGAGAACATACTGAAATCAAGCAACATGTTTCTTGTATTCAGATAGGCGAGATCAAGTGACGTAAGTGACTTGAGATGCAAGAAGGTGCTGAAATCAACAATGCCCCTCCCTGTGTTCCAGAAAGAGAGGTCAAGATACTGGAGATTAACTAGTTTCGATATAGGTCCCGGGATTGGTCCATTGAGATTGTTTTCCCCAATGAATAAGTCTTGAAGTTTGGATTGTGAAGAGATATTCCCAATCTCAAGAGGACCGCTGAAGTCGTTTCTTGCCAGGTCAAGTACAATCAACGAAGGGATCATGAAGAGAGAAGATGGAATGGTTCCAGAAAATGAATTTCCACTAATTTCAAAATGCTTCAGTTTGGAAAGGCTACTCATGTTAGATGGGAGCATACCTCTCAACTGGTTAGAACCAAGGTTGATATAGGTGAGCGAGCTCAAGTTGAGTAGAACAAGTTGGAAATCTGTTAGTCGGTTTAGGTTGCCCATCGAATCTAGTCGTTCACTGGTGAAATCATTATACGAAAGATCAAGATCAGTGAGATAAGAAAGATTTCCGAGTGCAGAAGGAATCTTTCCAAAAAGATTGCAATCATCAAGACTCAAAACCTTCAAATATTTGAGGTTGCCCATCCAATCCGGTAGCTCACCAGTGAAATCATTATAAGAAAGATCAAGTTCAGTGAGATAAGAAAGATTTCCGAGTGAAGAAGGAATCTTTCCAAAAAGATTGCAATCATCAAGACTCAAAACCTTCAAATATTTGAGGTTGCCCATCCAATCCAGTAGCTCACCAGTGAAATCATTATAAGAAAGATCAAGATAAGTGAGATAAGAAAGACTTCCGAGTAAAGAAGGAATCTTTCCATAGAAACTGCTACTACCAAGATGCAATTCCCTCAAATATTTGAGGTTGCCGATGGAATCAGGTAAAGTACCTGAAAGATTATTGACGCCAAGATCTAGGCTCTCAAGATGTTGTAGTCTAAACAGGCTACTATTAGATCTCAAAGGGCCATTGAGATAACTTCCCATGAGAGCTAACACAATGACCTTGCCTGTCTTAGGATCACAAGAGACACCATTCCAAGAACAACAATCAGTGTTGTTCCTCCACCTCTCTTTTGCCGTATCAGACATCATCCAATCGGGCCTTTGGATATAGAACTCGTTCTTGAACTCCCAAAGAGCATCCCTCTGGTCTGGAAGACACAAGTCTTTAGCAATAACAAGTATTGAGTTTGAAAGGCAGAAGATTAAACACAAGCTCCATTTTATTGTTACCATCCTCCTCCCACTACAAGAATGCATCGTCTTTTTTTTTCTTTGATTGTTTTTATTTCTGTTTTCTGTGAAACGAATTGATCATTGGATTGTCTCACATTTTTGAAATAAATTAAAGCTTGACTTGAAAAGTCTTCTGTGAAGACTTATCACTTCCACAGAAAATCGAATACCTGACTCTAGATCATTAGATTGACTCTTAAATTTGTGGAGGAGATTGAAGCTTGATCTTACAAAGTATCCGCAAACGCCAATTTTCCCAGCCGTGTGGTGTGGGTTAATAATCGCTGAAACGCTCCACAGCCTGAAGTTTCCTTTAATTTGATTATTCAAAACCGAAAAGGCAATATATCAGCCGTGTGGTGGGGGTTAATCGCTCTGTCCTTTTGCAGCCCTAAGATTCCTTTGAATTTTCAAAGCCAGCAAACGCAATTCTCTTGCCGTGTGGTGGAGGTTAATCTTTGAGGATTGTTGCTCTGTGTTACCTCGTTCTAGAGATTGAATGCCATGTGAGATTTAAATTGGAAATGCCAGTGGAACCTGAGTTGATAAAGACAGGAGTGTGTATCTAGGTGTGTGAGCTGTGGCGCCAGCCACCACGTAAGCTGCAACTGTTGTCCATTGCTACATATCCTGATATTGTCCATTGCTTATCACTTATGAGGAAGGTTAAAGGTTAGCCTATAATGACTTCAAGAGCAAGTATGTGTAATGGTATTAAATGAGAAACTTAAACCACACTCAACAACATCAATTCTTGAATGTTGATTTATCCATATTCTTACTTACACATCAAGCACCTGGGCGTATGTAGAAAAAGCTTGCCGTAAGTAGTATTCCAAGAGATATCTGAAGCAGTCAAAATACAAAACGTTAAATACATGGCTTAAGCAAAATTCAAAATCAAGATCTCATAAAAGAAATAAATGATTACTTCCTACGTAAACATGAGCCACGTAACGTGAATCATGAGCAGATAGATTTAGATTAATTTCAAGCTTAATTTCAAAATTTAAAATAGATATTGATATATTTTCTGGTCTCATTTGGTTTTAAATAAATTTACAAAATCATAGGAGGTTGCTTGCTCAATAAAAACTCTTATCAGAACGTTGCACAAGTCCCAGAGGCTAGAGACGTGGTTCTAACTAACCACACATAAATATGCCGTTTCTATTAAATTAATTGTCAACCTTTTAAAGAAGACAATAATCATACAAAAATAGTAGAGTGACGTAGCAAAGATAGTTAAAGAATTATCAATCATACAAAAATAGTATAAATTGTGTCTTGCAAATAAAACATGCATGCTTACAAACAATTTATAATTAACACCTCTATGGTAGCTTTGCAAGCAACGATTTAGGAAGTATGAGGAAAAAGGAATGTTTGTTTCATTGCGTGAAGTTCTATCTTAAAGGGGTGTTACTCAACCATGGAGTTAAAGTCAATTCTTTAAAGTTTAGGTGATGTTATTCAATGATGAAATCCAACACTAATCCAGTGTTATTCAACTAATGATTCTAAATCTAACTTTAAAATCTGGTGTTATTGGATCTTATACTTTATTAGATTTTAATAGTTTGGTGTTATTCAACTAAGATTTATAATACTTCATTAAAATCTAGTGTTATACAAAACTAAAAGACTTGTTAAATCATTTGAAATGAAACCTCTTTGGAGTTTTATGAGTAAATTATTAGAAAAAAAAATCCAAGATATATTGCAGAGATTTTGAAATCCACACAAACAGATTCTTAAAAACAATATCAGAAAGCAAATCTAAACCTTAAAGAATTGACTTTAATTCCATCACTGAATAACACCCCCTTATATTTGTTTTCTGATATTGTTTTTAAGAATCTGTTTGTGTGGATTTCAAATTCTCTGCCGTATATCCTGAATTTTGATTCTAATAATTTACTCATAAACTCCAAAGAGGTTTCATTTCAAATGATTTAATATACAAAGATTTTACAAGTCTTTTAGTTTTGAATAACACTGGATTTTAATGAAGTATTTTAAATCTTAGTTGAATAACACCAAACTATTAAAATCTAATGAAGTATAAGATTCCATAACACCAGATTAGTGTTGGATTTCAATTCTATTAAAATACATCAATGAATAACACCACCTAAGTGCAATTGGAGTTTTTATATATCTTGCAAATTGTAATTAAGAATAAACTTGTCATCAATATTGGAGTAAAAAATGATTACGTCTTTTGCCCTTTTAAAGGACAGACTTGACTTGGAATTACTTGCTTCTGAAGGAATCAAAAAGTCATACTTAATTCTAAAAATTCAAATAAGTCAAATGGTCATTTTTGTAGGTGCACACATTATATAAAGACCCGCCAAAAGTCTCTGTCCTTCCAATCTTAGAGATGGAACCAGCCTCTTCTTGGGGAAACACGCCTCTTGTCTCCGTCGATCGGGAGATCCACGACTTAATCGAGAAGGAGAAACATCGGCAATGTCGAGGAATCGAACTTATTGCAGCCGAGATTGACCGGTCAGTGAATAATCACCCATCTTCGCCCTCTTGGATTGACCGGTCAGTGAATAATCACCCATCTTTGAGACCATATGTTATACCGAACTATTTCTAATGTTAAATATGTTTCTGCTAGGTAACAAGGTTGAGAAGGTTTGTGAATTGTGCTACATTACTTTGAACAGGAATGCGGTATTTGGAGACACTAGTTTTCTTGCTCCTGGAGGTGTAAGAATTGGTATGAGCGAGTTCTGAGTCGTTTTTAACAATAGTCCATTAAATCTCATTGTTTGATCCTGAAAATCTATAAATATGTGTTTTTGAAGGTACACCCGCGATGACATCGAGAGGATTGGTGGAGAAGGACTTTGAGAAGATAGGAGAATTCCTGAGCCGTGCCGTGACACTCACATTGGACATCCAGAATCAGTACGGTAAGGTGTTGAAGGACTTTAACTTGGGTTTGGTGAACAACAAGGAGATCGATGAGCTCAAGGCTGATGTCGAGAAATTCATGTATGCTTTTGAAATGCCTGGATCTCTCATCTCTGAGACAAAAAACGATTAGATCAATCTCTTTACACAAGAGTAATCTTTCATTATTTATGTATATAATATACAATATGCTTTTGTATGTCGTAAATGGCATAGGCGAAGCAGCAAAAAGTTCCTTCGTGAAATTGTTTTTTTCTTCTTCTTGAAATTGTTATACTTTGTTGGCTTTCTTAATAATATCATCATACTTTCTCTTTTATATATTTTAGCTTAAAATTGTGGTTTTTTGTACAGGTTTAAGTTTTTGTTAGATTGAATTTGGTTTCTTATCTAATATAATGGTTTAATATGTCTTCAATTCTAATGTAAAAAGAGAATTTGATGTAGCAAAGATTAATGGTTAAAAAATAACCAATCATACAAAAATAGTAATCCACACTTGCGTGTTTTAATTGCAATTAAAACACGCAACTTTATAGTGTGGAAACATTTAAAATTAAAAACAAGTTTATATGTGAAAGTTGTCAAACCCTCTTTATAAATATCACATCATCATTTCAAAACCCACCAAGTTTTATTATCACCAATTAACTAAATTATTATATATTTAATCAAAAATTTCATTAAATTATCTTAGGATTAAAATCTGAAATAATTACGGTAGCCGATGCGTTTTATCATTTTTTCGTCTTCTTTATTATGGTTTTATCATCATTTGAACACTTCAACGATTACACTTTCGCCTAAAAGAGAAAGAAAATGTTCGTAAGCTTGGTTTCCGTTAATCTCTTTATAGTTGCTAATTCGATCATTTTTTTTTCGTCTATAGATTCAAGTTCAATCTGGTTGATATATTTAAAAGGTATACTCATATTAAGTTTCTAATTAAACTAAAATTTATTTAGCTTGTAATTTAAAATTTTTCTTTAGCAATTCGGTTCGGTTCGGTTCGGTTCGGTTTTCTATAGCAATTATTCCAAGAGGCCGACGAGATTCGTAGGAGCCGCATCTCCCTCCCTCCAAAGCACTCATTTTATTTTTTGTTCATAAAAAAAATGAATTCGTCAAATTGGATCGACGACGACGCTTTTACAGAGGAAGAGCTTCTCGCTATCGACGCCATCGAAGCTTCCTATAATTTCTCCCTTTCTTCTTCTTCCGCTTCTCCGACCGTACAAGCTACAACCTCCGGCCATGGCCACGAGGAGGATCCAAATCAAATCCCCAATAATATCCGTCGCCAATTGCCTCGCTCCATCACTTCTCCTACATCTTATAAACGATTTCCTCTCTCTCGTTGCCGAAGTAAGAAACTTCCCCTTTGAATTCGATTTCCAAGTTCTTTTCTTTTCAATTGTCATCGTCTCAATGTAATAATCTGTTAATGCCCTAATGATCAACTTATCCTGTGTTTACTTTGTTGCAGCTAGGAATTTTCCAGCAATGAGGTTTGGTGGTAGGATTTTGTATAGCAAGACTGCTAGTGAGGTTGATAAGCGAGCAATGCAGCTTCTTAAAGTTCTTGATACCAAGAAAGATGAATCTGGAAGAGCTTTTGTTGGCTTTGATATTGAGTGGAGACCAAGTTTTAGAAAAGGTACTTTTGTTAAACTTCTGTCGTATCTCGGTCTATTCTTGATTTGTCTCATTGCAAGTTTTGTCTTTTTCGATTGCATTTCTTAAAGTATGCATTGTGATATGCATCTGGAACTGGAACTGCATTGTATCTCTATTTGATGCACATGTTGTCTTTTCATTTTCATCTTTATAAATCTTGAATCTTGATGAGTTAATGATCATTCATTCTCTTGTATTTAGATCAGATAGAGCTATATGGTTGTTGTTTCCTTTCTAATTGGTTGGAAGAAAGTGTAGATGACTCACTTGTGCAGTTTTGTGTAGTCTCAATGTCTCTGCAAGCTTTTTATATGCTACTTTGTTCTACTCAACCTCTGTGAGGTTCTCGTGATCTAACTAATGATATTTTTGTGAAAATATGAGTTGTTTTAGGTGTTCTCCCGGGGAAGGTTGCAACTGTCCAGATATGTGTAGATAATAATTATTGTGATGTTATGCATATTGTTCATTCTGGTATACCGCAAAGACTCCAACATCTGATTGAGGATTCAACACTTGTAAAGGTTTGTTTATATTTTTTGAAGTGATCAAAGTTCTTGTTGTGATCAATTCACATAGTTCTGATACATATATAGGTAGGTATTGGAATTGATGGTGACTCTGTGAAGCTTTTCCATGACTATGGAGTTTCCATCAAAGATGTCGAGGATCTTTCAGTTTTAGCCAACCAAAAAATTGGTGGTGGTGGAGATAAAAAATGGGGCCTTGCCTCACTAACTGAGACACTTGTTTGCAAAGAGGTATCTGTTATTCACCTCGTCTGGTTGATTTCGAAAGCTTGATTTAAATTTTGAGAACAGTAGTGAGAACTAGATTTATCGTATTTCCGCTCTTCCTAAAAATAGCGGTACAACACTCTTCTGTTCTGCTGTTTCAAAAGTGGGAATCTTGATTCTATTTCGCTTTGAAAATTTGACTGTTACTTTGCAGCTCCTGAAGCCAAACAGAATCAGGCTTGGGAACTGGGAGGTTTATCCTCTATCAAAGCAGCAGTTACAGTACGCAGCAACAGATGCTTATGCTTCATGGCATCTTTACCAGGTAACAACAAAGAAAAACCAACTTCTCACACTGTTACTTGTCGAAAACCTGGAGCTTATCTTTGGTGAGTTAGAAGCTAATGGAGAGCATTGTTACATTTGCTTAGGTTCTTAAGGACCTTCCTGATGCTGTCGATGGTTCATAACGTGGACGAAGCATATGATTCCTATGGGATTAAATGATATGATACACATAATCTAGTCCAGTAGATGTAATTCTTATGGGATTCGCAAAAGCCACTTGAACACTGTATCTAGTTCTGGTTCATTTTATCGTCCAGAAACTAGTGGGCTTATGGTAAGCTCTTCTTCTTAGATCGTTGATTCAAACTTTAAATATCGATGTAAAGATTTGGTAAAGGAAGCTTTTTTAAGTCACACATGGGAATTGAAATAGAGCAAACCAGGAAACAAACCCTTAAAAGGGAGGAGTTAGATCACAACAAGGAAACAAAACCAGACACTGCAAACACATGAAAGCGCACAATACAAGAATGTTTTCGTCTTTTGGATAGAGAATGCGTTCCACCTTATGTCAGCACAATCATCGTCATTCATCACCACTACCATCACTACCATCACTACCAGAGAGTTTCACTTTCAGTTTACAACCATCCAGTTCCTGGAAATTCAAAACCAAAGCAATAATAGGTTTGAGTCCATATATAGGCACAACAACTATACCACAAATGGAGCAATCCAAAACCTTTCCATTCATCCCTGACACGGCTGCTTCAGCTTCGGAGTGACTGCTGAATGTGACAAATCCAAAACCTCTGGATCTTCCTGTGAGATTTCTGTCTCTCATTAGTCATTACGATTTCTGCCCACAAATTTTTTTTGGTTTTATGTGAAACATAAACCACACTTACCAACATAAACAAGAAACTCGGAAATATTAATTGGAGGGTGATCCAAAGGCTTTTACCATCTAGCACTTGACCGTAGTCAGAAAAGGCTTGCCTCATATCATCGGTAGTGGTCGATGAAAGATCTGAATTGATCATCAAATATACAGTAAAGCTTTCAAATCACAAAACCTGGCTAAAGCAAATTTGATTAATGAACATCTCAAAGAAGAAAGAAAGGATTACTTCCGACGTAAACCTTGGTAGACATGTAGACTGTAGAGGATGGAAATAGAAACAAGAATCGTTGAGGAATTGAGAATGGAGCCATGGAAGATAAGTTTAGATGGAGGTCAGTATTTTAATAAATCTTGATTTACAAATCAACATTTGATAGATTTTTACAGCTAATCAAATGTTGTTGCTCAGTCTTTTCTGATATATAGCTCGGTACGCTTGACTTTGTCAATAGGCAATTAGACAAATGGCTTGATTTCAAGGTTTAACTATGACCGAAAGTCCGAAACCACTTAACGAAAGACAAAACATGAATCGAAGTAAAGTTATATGGCAATGGTGGAAAACGGCATATTAGCTCAAGCGAGGGAAAGGAATTGGTAAACATAGTTGAATGCACCTAATGGGGGCAATAAAATATTTCAACCAAATTGGTAAATCAAAAAAAGAGTAACGAGTTTTCAGCAAATCCCATTCAGGTTTTATACTAACATAAGATTCAATTGAAGAAACCAACTAAACAGAACCATTAACTCTTCTTCACAAGCAACTCCTCTGTTTAGTAACCACCACCATCGCCACCACCTCCGTAGCCACCACCGCCTCCTCCGTAGCCACCGCCTCCTCCGTAGCCACCACCACCACCACTGTAACCACCACCTCCTCCGTAAGCCCGAGGAGCACTTGGTCTTTCATTAGCAGGATTCACTCGAATGTTACGACCATTCAGATCCTGAAATTCCAAAACCCACCACATTAGCCATTAAACAGAACCAATTACCATTAACAGATATACTAATTAAGCACTCAATAAAAACCTTTCCGTCCATCTCTGAAATAGCAGCAGATGCAGCACTCTCATCATTGAAGTTGACAAATCCAAATCCCCTCGATCTTCCCGTCTCTCTATCGACGATAACTTTAGCTGCACAATTAAAAAAAACAGAAATATTAGTTCATCTCCTGAGACCAACGTATCACAAACTCTTACTCAATTATACCAAAAACAAGTGAAGCTTCTCTCAAGTAAAAGAAGCTTACCATCAACAACTTCACCGAAGTGAGCAAAAGCATCCCTCAAGGACTGGTCATCAGTTCCCCATGAGAGACCTGAAACCAATCAACATATATTACAAATCTCAGTACAAAATAAGCCAATTTCGAAACCAAGAACTCTCACTCAATCTCATACAGAGAAAAAAGACAAGGTTTCTACCTCCGACGAAAAGCTTGGTAGACATCAACCGGAGAGATCCGAGCATAGAAGTAACCGGAACATTTCCGTTAGTAGAAATGTTCTGTCTCAACAGACCACCGAGTTTGTTGCAGAAAGCCATTCTACAAGACCAGATCAAATCAATACCAATAAAAACCATAACTTTAACACTAAATCATCATTCTAAACAAGCAGATCTAGATTCAACTTAATCATAGGAGTAATTTCAAGCTCAAGATCCTTTAAAAGGCGTATTGAAAACCAAAGCAGAGACTCACTAGAAACGAATTCACTATGAAATTAAACAAATCAGAAACATAATAAAGCTCATGAGATCGAAGAAAATGGAACAGAGAAATACCTTCGAAATTAGGGTTTTGTGATCTGAGAAAGAGGCAGAGGAAATGAAGAATGAACCCAAAGAGTAGGGTTTAAGGGGGTATATATATACAAAGCTCAATAAAAAATATCTCTTTTTCCATTTTAGATTTTTTTTTCTCGCTAAATATTTTAATCTGCTGGGTGTAGATGTACTTGGTTACTGTGTACTAAAGCGTTAATAGTTGTACACGTAGCAGAGTGTGTGTAAATCAGTTCTTGTGGTAGTAATCTTTTTTGAGTGTACGATGTAGTCGGCGTAGAGGAACTATGATTTTCGGATTTATCCAATTTGGGTTTTTAGTTTTCTTCACCTTATTTTATCTGATTTATATTGCTAAAAATAAGACTTTTGTATTGGGCTTGGAAAGTTATATTGCATTCCGGGCTTAGAAATTCATGTTTAAACGGATATTATCGTTGATGGGCCAATCGAAGAGAGATGATTTTTCACAAACAAACAAAAAACTTAAAGAGTTAAAATATCACCAGATGAGTTATATTGGTAGATGGGGTTATATGACGGAATGAATTTTTAAAAAAATTTAAATGTTTATAATTTATATATAAAATCAAAAAAAAATTATAATATTAAAAGCATTTGAACATATATAAAGAGTTAAAATAACATGAAACGATTATATTGTATGATGGGGTTATATGACAAAACGAGTTTGAATAAAAGGATATAAAACATCATTAACTCGCTGTTTCAATACGGTTAAATCTTCATTTTATTACTTTTTAACATCACCTGTAATATACATATCGAATGATCCCGACCAAAGTAAAATTATATAAAACAAAAAAAAATTTGTGGTTAATCATTATTTATTAACAATTGTAAACTATAAAATATAAATGTTTTATAAAATGATACAATTTACAAATTTATATATATATATAATATATAACCACTAAATTTTAAAAATAAATCTTCCTGCGGTGTACCGCGGGTTAAAATCTAGTTAGTCTAATAAATTAGTAGTATTTAAAGAATTTATAATTATTTCGCGTAAACTTTGTCAAGTTGTAGTCTTTTCAGCTATTTGATTATTTAACTACTCCGCTGTTATTAATTATATAAATATATTTTATACATCCAATATCCAACTAATATTTTATATAAATTAAACATAACTCATTATTTTATCTATCGATTCTGTTCATTTTATGTCCAATTCTATTCAATCATGTTATTTCTCAATTATAAATAATTTATTCATAATCCTAACAAATTTAATTTGGTATACTCAAATTCTAATCTAAAATGATATGAATAATATACATAGAAATTATCATGTTAACAAAATCTCGCAAGTACGTGCGGATCCGGATCTAGTTACTATTTTCAAATTTTATAATTATTTTGCATAAACTTTGTCGTTGTAGTTTTTTAGCTATTTGATTATTTAACTACTGCTATAATTAATATATATAATGACATTTTATTTTCAATAATGTCAAAGTATATAAATGCCATATATATATATTTAACACCCCATTTCGGTAAAACCATTATTGAACACATGTGTATGTTTTTTGTTTTAGAGCAGCAAATATGCGATCTAGCTTATTACATGTCTATTTAGAAATCTGTTAAAGAAAAAACCACACTAATTTTTGCTCGAAAACAAAGGGTAATTATAATTTGGTAGAACAATCTTTATACAATACTTGATACTTTGGAAATTAGTAATGGAACAAAAGAATATATATTTTATTTTTACGTTTATAGAAGAAATTATGTTTTGGGTTTCTTAACGAATATTTGTTTTACGCGCCAGTGTTTGAAACAATACTACGATGTCTAGTTTTCAAAAAATATATTCTTTACGAAAATTTCGTGTTATAAAGGAGGTTATCATTTCCAAAATTTTAGCAGTTTAGAATTTTCAGCTATTTTCCATGCAGAAACAATAGCTAGTTTTTCACACACGACTGACCACACTACTTATGCGGTATATAGTTTGTTCAAATGGTTTCGTCTGTTCTGGGTTTGTGCAAGATTGTGCTATAATCAGTCCAACTAATGGGATGTCAAAGAAACACCCAAATTCTCTAAAAGCTAGAAACCAAAAACACTCATTGGCTTATGTACTGAAAATTCCCAGTTTAAGATGATTGGTATGAGTAAAACTGAAAGTAAATATTATAATTTTTAGCCTTTTGGGAATTACAAGGTATTGATAAAACAATAACCACATTGATCTATTCATCACTGATTGTTTGATATTTTCTCGAATTTTTTTTATCATAATTATATTTTTGCCTTCTTTTTGGTGGTGTCTTCCAAAATTGTTTGATGACCTTGTTGTTAGCTAAGTGTGTGATGCGTGTGAAAGTTTACTTCAAACTATTACCTCAAAGACCAAACGTTAATCTGCAAATGCACAGTAATCAAAGTAGTATTTTATGATCGATCCCACAGAGAGTGTAGCTACAGGTTATTGAATTCAAACAAGAAGATCTACCTAAGACAAAACTAAACTTTGGGGTTTTGGTTTTGGGTCTCCTAATGACTAATGCAATGAAATAAGAAAGCAAATAAATGAAAGCTAAGTAAACTAATGAAAGCTAAGATGATAAACGGTTTGAAACTAATGAGACTAAGGCGTTGGGCGTTCTAGGGTTTCTCCGGGTATCATGGTTCTCGACTAACTAGGGTTTAGATCTCTAGGGTTTCTATGTTTTCGTTCTAGTTCATAACTACGAAAGGCGAATGAACGAGTTATCCTAGGTTATAGAATAAGTGGCAAATCTCCCTATACTCCGTGTCTCAACTGACGCAGGCAACGACGCATAGATCGACGCATTAGGGTTGGATTCGCTAAGTATTCTAAGTCTTGTTACTCAACTTACGCAGGCAGCAACACGAAGGATTGGTAACACTATGTCCGAGATTAGGTTTACCCGGTTAGAGCTCCTAACCTCTTGGATCAGCGTTTGGTGATCAATCCAAACACATGCATTAAGTAAAAGATGTCCCAAAAGAATCTAATTATGAACGAAATAACAGATTTATAAACCTAATATGATTTGAACCATGAATCCCCTTTGAATTACCCCATAAACCCCAGCAAAGAAAACTACTCGCTCATGATGCTAAGAAACGACATGGAGATGAAGTAGAAAAGCATAATAAACGAATTCAATAAAACAAAGGGGGTTCAAAGAAGACTTCTCTAGTGTCACAGAAGATACTTGTCTCCCCAAAAGTCTTGAAAGAAAGAGTAGAAGAAAGAGTAGAAGAGAAAACAATGAAGAACAAAGGAGAGAGCTTCAAAGGACGACTTCTTCAAAGGGCAAGAGCTTCGACGAGGTGGAGCTAGGAGAGCTGAGAGTCTCATCGGTGAGGCTTCTTGGGAGGCTGTCGAGATTATGGTTGAGAGGCCGTTAGGTTTCTCTACTTTGTCTTGGTATTTATAGGCTTCGATTAGGTCAAGGGGCAAAACCGTCATTTCCCACGGATTAGGTTAAGTGAGGGCTCGAGCTTCTGGACCGGGTACGGCTAGGGATGACCGGAGTGATGTGTGAAGGCCAGCTCGGGCGCGGGCTCCACGACCGGGGGCTCCAGAAGGCTTCGGAACGGGCGTAAGGGTGTCTGGCCGGTCTGGGACATATCTTTACTCCGCAGGGCATAACTTCCGAATGGTTTAATGGTTTATTTTTATTCTACTTTGAGGTGAATCTTGACTCTTCTAGCTTTTCATAGCCACCGAGATCTCTTGATTTGGTAATCGAGAAGGCCTCGAACGGACGCCGTACTTCTGAGGTACAGAAACTGTCTTGAAACGGGATTTAATCGACTTTTACTCCTTTTTGCTTGAAAACTCATAATTCATCCTTGAAGTATAAATACTTGGAAACATCCTTGAAATCTCATCTCTTGTTTTCTCCATGAAAAACTTAAATAAAACATAATAAAAATGGGCTAAAATACGATGTTTTAAGTGTTCTATATCCCATTCAAATGTATTATTTCTATTTTTGTGTATAAATTTATGTCGTTTTCTTTGATATTTAATTGAATATTATACATTTCTTGATTACCATAATCTCAATTTTATAGGTGGTTATAGCATGACCATCTGAGAAGGATGTGGTAACCGTTTTTAGAGTTAGGTAATAACGTTTACATATAGAATTAACTAAATTCTCCGCTGTCCTAGCATATATATGTCACATGTGTATTTGGCAATCTGCTCAAAGAAAAAAAAAAACACTCACTTTTGTTAGGAAACATATGGGTATTGTGGTTGCACAACAAACCATGAACATAATTTTTTTAAAAAAATTGTTAGTTAGAGCTCGCAAACATTTCGAAAACATAAGCATGCAAAATAGCGAAAGCATAAGAAATCAAACATGTGTCTTAATTTTTTTTTTTTTTGTAAAATTACGATAACTTCAGCAAAAATTAGCAAAATAGCAATGAGGAGACAACAATCAATTTTTGAATAATTTACTTTTCATTTCTTATTATATTCGTAATTATAACATGTTATTTAAAAAAAAACTTGTTATTTTTAATATCGATGTTTGTTTCGTGGATGTTTAGGTAATGGAAAAACAAATTTACTAGATTAGAAAACAAAATGCCATATGTATAAATAATATGGTAAAAATAATTATGCGCTATAATTTTTGTATTGTGTATTCACATAAAAATAACATGTTAGAAAAACAAAATTGTGCATCCTATAATAAAATCGTCTAATAAATGTTTGTGGCCACGTCATTACTGATTTTCTAATTTCTGATGAATTTATTGTCACTTTTGCTAATAGCTTCTGAAGAAATGATGGATCGTTATAACTTATATTTTCAGAATAAAATAAAACTAAAATCTCAAAAAACAAAAAATCGTTAGAACGTCTCGCTTTGTAATCTATTACAACTCTTGAAAATTTGAAAATGATGGTGTCAAAAACTTTAGTATAGAACAGAATATGGTTGATGTAGAATTTAGTTATTGACTCACTAATCTTACCGTTGACTCTCTTCACATAAACATTTTCTTGAACATTGACATTAACCCCTTAAAATAAGCAATGTGACGAGCTACATTCAACCAGAAACAACTCAATTAGATTTAAAATGGTAAGATAATAGTGCTTTCAGCATTATTGTTAATTGTCTTGACTAATTTATAGAATGAATACATATGTCAGGAGCATTACTAATTAGAAAATCATATTTTGTAACAATTTGAAAATTTTCCACACCAAAAAAAAAATTACTACGACAAAATGGAAATGATCCATTTAAGAAAAGAATCTTACGTGATTTAGTTATAACCAAAACCTTCGACAACTATAGCCAAAAATACTAAAAGAATATGTTATAATTTTCATTAATTTTGTAATTTTATAATTAAGAGCATAATAAGATTTTGATTATTATAAAACCTATTTCACCAAACTTATCTAGATAAGTTATAGATGGACAAATGAGAAGTAAAACATCCTTTCTTTCTAATTTTCCCTATACTTATATTCATGTAAAAATCAAAAACAGTCTCAATCTTACTTCACAATCTTCTTAAGTTCGTCTTAGCAACCATGTGTAGTGGTCCTGTTGATTTTTAATATCTTGAATCTATATCAACCTTATTCACGGTTATAGATTAATGTTCAACCAGTTTCAATTTATGTGGCATCTCTTTATATGTTACATCCTTTTCAGTTTCTATATAATTATTTCTTGATTTATTTCTTTATTTTCAAACTGACTAGTAAACATTAATTTTGCTACATGAAAGCTACACAAAAGAAAAAAACTTTGAAACTGCATAGGGTTTCTATTAGAGAGTATATAGCTGGTTTATTTCTGGTTTAATTTAGTTTGGTAATATCTTTGGTTTAGTTTGCTTGGGAGAATCTAAAATGGTATTTTTCACTCAATTACCACTTACCACCAATAATTAAGTGTTGATGGAACATTGGAAGATCATCCCAAAGTAACACAAACAAGAAAATGGGAGAGACCAAACGAAGAAGTAGAAAGAGAGTGAAAGACCAATCATTTCTATTTTTGAATTTTAACATTTGGCTTTTTGATGTTTGTTCATGGATTAAATCTGAGATTTTATTTCAGGAAAAAAAATTAACTGTAGTAATAAATCATTTTTGTGATTTTTTTCATGAATTGTTATTGTCCGTTTTCAGTAGTATTAATATTAATTATCAAGCTCTGGTTCATTTTGTACAATGAAAATATTGATTTTGATGGATATAAACAAATTTTAAAATGGCTGCAAAGCATATTAAAATGTTTAAGAGGAACTTCTGCAAATTTATGCCATGAGATTTGGATTTTCAACCATCCCATCATCAAATGCGCGTGTTTCGAATATTTACATAGAAAATAATTAGAACTCTTTGTGATTTTTGAAAGATCTCTGTTGACATCTTTGCTTATTCGATATCTTGGATTACCTTTCACCAATGAATCCATGGTTCTTTGGAGTATATATGCACCATTAATTGACAAGATCTAGAGCAAGTTTCTCTCATGGACATATATTCATTTGTCTTTCATTGAGAGTCTCTAACTTATCCCCTCAATTCTTGCAAGTGTCTCAAATTTTGTGTGCTACGTTTTCATGAGTTCGGAATCCCAAAATCACCATTACACTGGAAAATTAATATGAACTCTCAAAAGTTTGGAAAATATATTTTCGACAAGTCGAGAACGTATAGTAAGCGTATCTCATCGATCAAACTATTTCCGTTCAAAGTACGTTTTAAAGTATTAAAGTACGATCAAACTATTTAGGTGTATTTTTGTTTTCTTTATAGTTTTCTTTTTCGGGTTTGAAAATTACACTTTCTTTGAAAATAGGCTTTGATTGGCGCCTATTGTTTGGTTATAAGCTGATTTGCTTTCAATTACGGTGGCAGTTCTTAGAGTTTTAATTAATAGACATGATGATACAACTAATAATAGGCAGAAAAAAAAGTCAGAGAATAAATGATAGAAACTAGTGCTCGAATAATATTGGCAGAGACAAATGCCCCATTGCAGATGTTCACTGAATGACTGAAGTAATTATATATTGCCAAATTTCAACCACATTTCACACAAGATGCAACTAATAACTCTCATTTCAGTGTAAATTGCATATACCGAGCCTTTTTTACCTTATAATAAAAACTAAACCCTCTTTCAAAAAAAAAACCTTATAGTAAAAGTTACTAACCTTTAACATTATTCTGGCATAGCTCTACTTAATAAGACAGTACATTCATAAGTACATCGATACAAGTACTTTCAACATTTTTCCTCTCGTAATTAATTTTATAGTTATTATTGAAAAATGATTTATAAAAATTTCTTCGTCCAAAAAAAGAAGGTTTATAAAAATTTCATCTAAATTATGATTAAATAAACAACCTTTGCCAACTGCCAAGTAAAAGAAGAGTAGACCATCAACTGTTTTTCTTGGATAAATAAAGTTGTAAGAAGTTGTGAAGGGTTCCTATATTTACAAAATTTTAAATCTGCTTGTTGAATTTAATAGAAAATGCATTAAATGCGATTATCATCCAACCAACAATTCCAATCCTTGAAATCATCTAAATTAATTAAGGGCCACTCATTTTACTAGAAGTAGAAACAAATGAAATGATTACAAACGCCTATTATTTAACAAAATATAGCCTAACCTCCGAAAATATTTCTTTAATTATTGGGTAAATCTACATTAATTTCCGGTACTATATGAGAAACAAAAATCGAGATATTATTTCCATTTAAACTGTTTAAATATAATAATCATTCTAATCCCTAATTACTGAACTTGATCATCCATCTACTAACAAGAGAGCTTTTAATATAGCTCAAAGTATATAGTTGACTTGAGAATGAAGTCACATGTTGCTTACACGTAGCCTTTTTTTGTTCGACTATTTTTAATTTTATATTGAGAAAGTATATGCCGTCGTACGTGTATGTTTCTGGCTTGGTTTGGATCTTGTTATATTAATCAGGCAAAATATACTCATCCATGATTGAAGTTTGTAAGTGTAGGGCAGCAGGGGAATAATTACCTTGAACTCTGAACCACTAGATTAGTTGAGGACCTTGAGGCATATTGAAGATAGTGATGACTAACATAAGATTAAATGACTAGTTGTTAATATATAAGTTAACCCAAACATTGTAATAGACAATCCTAAAAACTGATTGAAATTGTAAGAGATTTAGTTTTGCTTTTCTCTATACATTTATAAATAAAATTTGATAAATTATTAAATAGGTTAGTTTGACTATAGAGAAACAGAAGATGAGTCCTTTTCTCTGAATGTAACTATAGCTTTATTCCTCATCTAACCAGCATAAACAATATATTTTAATTATATAAAAACTCAAATAAAGGTTGATTAGGATATGTAATCTAGTGGTTTTTTTTTGTTAATGTCATTAATGTATCACCCACCCACATTAATGTATGGTGTTACTATTGATATAAAATAAAATAAAAATTTCACAATTAGTTCAGTTTAAACTTTACTTCATTCTTGCTTTTAACATTTTTTTGGTATACACAAAAATGTTTTGGGCGACCGGTTTGTAGTCTCATCAAAACAGGGTAAATATAAATATATTCTCTATCACCGTATATGGAGCCTAGAACAATAGTACAGTTTTCTTCTTTCAGAAAGTTATAATAATTAATTGACCCGTAGAACCAACGTATCTGGTTTGCTTTTAACTTGACATCCACGTACGTCAATGTTTGTGCCATATTTCAATGTCGATATTGTAATGTTGGTGGAGGATTTTTATGTTAAAGTTTGTTAATAATACCATAATCAGAATCTTATATTCGTTCCTATCACCGACTCAGTCACACGACATCATCATCATCATCATCATCATCATCATCATCATCATCATCATCCTCATCATATGTATATACCTTTCTTTTTTTTTGGTTAATTAATCATCATATGTATATACAACAACATATATGGTTTTAAAACAAAAAAAACGATCGAGAACTGTTTAAATCAAATGAAAAAATACTAAAACTATTAATCACAACATTACAAATCTAAAATATAAGTTAATCTCGGGATAAATATATACAGTATATTAATTAACGACACCATCAGAAAACTAAATACTGTATAATTGACGTAAATTATATATTGTTGGTTTCTATTCTTTTTGTCGATTTATGTTGGCATTGCACTTCTATTATAAATGCAGAAATAGACATAAAAGGATAGTAGGTGATAAATATTAAAATTAAAGTATCTGAACGATGATTTGGATCCTTTGGTCATGGACCTTATCGGGAAAAAAGAAAGGCTATTAATTAAACAGTTTCAGCTACTCTCGTATCATGCATTAACAAGTTAACACCATCAATCTTCTCTATTTAACACAAGAGCCTCATCACAACATTCTTCACCTACAAAGATTATATTACACAGCAGAGAGAGAGATATATATATATATATGGTCCAAGCAAAGGCAAATTTTCTTATACTTTTATGTTAACAAATTTGCTATTTTGGTAAGTGTTACATACATCGACCGACTTGTTAGTTCAAAGATCACGTAAAATCAGTCCAACTCCAGTGAGTCATCATGGGTAGATCTCAAGAACAGGGACAGGGACAAGGTCCGGTTCACAGCATCCGGTTATCGACCGTGGGTGCAATCCGGCCGACAGAGACCGGTACGACCCACGAACCAACCGGTTTAGACCTAGCCATGAAGCTCCACTACCTCAAGGCGGCTTATATTTACTCAGCCGAGACAGCACGTGACTTAACCGTGAGACATCTGAAGGAGGCCATGTTCATGTTGTTCGACCAGATCGCTTGGACCACAGGCAGGTTCTCACGGAAAGACTCGGGCCGTCCGTACATCAAGTGCAACGACTGTGGCACGCGTTTCGTCGAAGGTCAATGCAATCTCACGGTGGAAGAGTGGCTCAGTAAACCGGACCGGTCTGTTGATGAGTTTCTGATTTACCATCAACCTATTGGACCGGAGTTGACGTTCTCACCTTTGATCTATGTTCAGGTATCATCTGACTACAAAAATTTTCTCTTCTTTAGTTTGTATATTCCTTAAGTTCACACATGCATTGCTCTCTCTCTCTCTATCTAAATGATATATACACACATTTAATATTGACTGAGACATATATATTTAACTATACCAAGGTCTAAAAATGGTTATATAACATGATATGGTATTTGCGTTATTCAATCTTGAACCCTTTACAAAAAAAAGTATTTATTCAATCTTTAAGTTTTCTGGTTGACAGAAAATATGTGTATACTTTTCAAAAATTTGTGTTTTTATTGAGATGGACTGATATTTCCTCACAGTTTATCTTTGCTAACAACATCAATAAAAAAAGTGTGAAAAAAGAAAAAAAAAAGTATAGAAAACACTAGGAGTATATTATTTCCATATATAAACACTTGTAACATTTAGCAGAAAGAAGAAGAAAAAAAGACAAACCATGTTGATGGGGTCTGATTTTTAGAGTTAGAAAAAGGCAATTATTCCCTAAACTAGGTTAGAAATCTATATTGAGTTTCACTTGTCTTTCGAACCATATGCCCTAATCAAGAAAGACAAAGAACATATTAAAACATTTAATGCATGAACTGTCACAACAGAATTTAATACACGAAAGATCCTGTTCGTACCATTAACTTGCATGAAAACACACTGCCTCTGTGTAGGTAGGTGTACCAAATTTAATAAAACATTCGGACTTTTCAAAGTTGTATTGCGAACTAGATTGGAACGGATTTGTTGGACCCGACTTTCAAATATCTAGATCCAAATGGATCAGTGACTTCCAAATATGCGGATCCAAAATATACAAGAAAATAAATATATAAAAATGTGAAAGTTAAAAAAAAAGTGTATTAACGAACTTATAAAGTATCTCAAATGGTTGCTGGTTCGAGTGATACTTAGAAAGTAACTATAGTAAATGTTTTGATGTGGGGATATGTTTTTAGAGAAGCGGTTAAGTCCATCTGACTTCACCTTTCTTACCGGAGTTGGATTCCACTAAGTCGGGTTACTCCACGTAGTAAGGATTGACTATAGATCGGACCATGTCGATCCAAAAATATATAAAAAAAAAAATTTGATGTTTCGTCTCCGGCATCAATCCCAAAATTTCATAGTTATTCAAAAAACAAAAGTTAAAAAATAAATTTTTAATATATTTAGGCGATTTGGATCAATTTCAACTACGTACTTTGAAATTTTTTCAAAAATTTCAAATATGCAAAATTTGGAAATGGTTCTCGATCGTATTGCATTTTATAATGGGTTTGAAACTGATTTATGTCGGTTTGATTTCCGCAGATGATCCGGTTTAAATGGGGAGGATTAGGTTTGGGCCTAAGCTGGGCCAATATAATAGGAGACTCATTCTCTCTATTCTATGCCTTCAACTTATGGGCTAAGCTCATTACCGGCGAAAAGATTCATGTCCCAACACTCTCTAAGGGAGACAGAAGGTTCCAAAGTCCAAACCCGACGGTTAAAGATCCGGTTTCAATTAAACGGGTCAACCCGGTTGGAGATCTCTGGGTCACTCCAAACGACAAGAAAATGGCGAATTACTGTTTCAAAATCGTCGTCGCCGATCAGATACAACCACATTTTCCGGCGAAGGGAGCTGATCCGATTCCGGTGTTCGAGATTCTCTCCGGGATCATATGGAAATGCATAGCTAAGGTTAGGGAAGAGCCAAAGCCTGTGACCGTTACGATCATCAAAAAGGATCCGAACGATTTGAAACCTAACGCGATTCGCAACAGTCAGGTGATAAGTTCGGTGCAAGTTGATTTTCCGGTGGCGGAAGCGACGGTGGAGGAATTGGTGAAAGCTATGGGGGAAGCGAAGGATGAGAGAAGTGGAATTGAGGAGATTGGAGAGAGTTGTGATGGGAATTTGGATTTTGTTGTTTATGGAGCGAAATTGACGTTTTTGGATCTGAGTGGTGAGGATTTGTATGAGGCGAAGGTGATGGGGAAGTCGCCGGAGTCGGTTTATTGTAATGTTGAAGGGATAGGGGAGGAGGGATTGGTGGTTGTTTACGCGACGGCGAAATCGGAGGAGAGGATGGTGACGGTGACGTTGCCGGAGGATGAGATGGAGAGGGTGAAATTGGAATTTAAGAAGTTTGGTTTGAATTGATCGCGCCGTGAGAAATATCAAACGGCTAATAAGTGTAAACGTGAAGTGGTGAATGTTGTGCTATCTTTTTTAAAAATTTATCTTTATGTTTTTGTTGGATTGTAACTTGTAACGTTGTTGTAAAATTAAATAATTGATTCAAGTACTTTGTTTTGTATTTGTCATACTGGCCACTGGGTTTGATTGGTAACAGTTGGAGTAAAACCATTTAGGGAGTTACCTGAAGAAGTGTGGTTGGATAAAGTGATTGGAATAAGTGGTTGAAAGCAATCACTTTTAGAATTTGATTGGTTACACAAATTAAGGTTATTGAATGTTCAGCAACCTCGTTGGTTACAATCGAATGGACGGATGAAATGAGTGGCGTTAGATGAAACAATGCGGTTATGAAACGTATGAAATTATCAATCAATCACCATTACAAATGTCGCTGCCACAGCTCGAATTCCGTTCTCCACTCAAAGCGTAAAACTTAAAAAGCACAACCAAAAGAAGATTATAATTAGGGTATTTATCTATTTAATGTGCTTGCCGATTGGCATAGGCACAGAGAAAAGTGTATACATATATACAAAGTTGCAGGTATTGATGCTATGCTTTCTATATTACACACAAACAATTAAAAGACTATACATAACAAGGCTAAAGACTTGATGTTGTGTGTTAACAAGAATCTTGTTGTTGACGGCGCATTCTAGCAGCCCAAGACATTGAGTTATTGTCTTTCTGATTGCTTCTTCTCCTTAACCCTGAGAGCTGAGTTTGCCATTTTGCCTTCCACTCACTCTTCTCTTCCACCACTTCCTGCTTTCACAACAATCACCAAAACCCAAATCAATCTTCGATTATAAATAGCATTATTCAACATTTTAGGGACCCATGATTGTACCAAATAAGGACCAATGAGGTCATTATTCTCTATTCCACTACTAATCCAATCTTTAATTTGTCACCTAATAATTGACACATGGGTCAATTTATTGGACCATAATAAAGATAAGGTCAATTCTGTCGACAAGGATACACACATAAAAGGTTCTTGAATCTACCGAGTAAATCTTGAAATTCGAAATAAAAGAATAAAAATAGAATTTTTGAGGATAATACCACACACTATTTGTCCACATATGAACCAAAAAAATATCCAAATCAAGAACATCAACATCACTTGGATAAATTTATCAAATAACACATAAACAAAAAATTATTGCATACTCTTAAATTTTCTAAACCATAATAACTTCAAAAATTTTGTTCATCACAAAAATTGAGGGAGACTAATAAAATTCATTTTTTTAATTAGTAATTAATTACCTCATCGTAACGGTTCCGGCGTCGACCGGAGAAAGAAAACGAAAACCCCATAGACAAATCACGATCATATAAAACTCTCCGGCGAGGATCGGAGAGAGTTTCGTAAGCTTCTTGAACTCTAATAAACCGATCTGTGTATTCTTCGACACGATCCGGAGGAGAAACATCGGGATGATATTTACGAGCAAGTTGTTTATAAGCTTGTTTGATTTCTGGGAGTGTGACTGATTCGGTGACGCCGAGAAGATCGTAGAAGGATAAGTCTTGTGATTGTTTTACGGGATCGTCGTGGGTTAGTCGAGATTGGATCCGGGTGGAGGAGAAGCGGGTTCGGGTCGGGTAAGAGAGAGTTGATGGGAAGGAAGATGGAGGTAGAGAGGAGATTGGTTGTTGTTTGTAGAAGAATGGGTGGTGATTCGTTGTGAGAATTGATGAGCTTTTGTAACATTTCATTGTTTTCAATTTTAGGGTTTGGGTTTTTGGGGATTTGAGATTTGTGGATTTTTAATATGGGAATGGTAATGTGTAGGTTGGGAAGAGGAGAAAGGAGAAGGTAGACGAAACAGTTGAATAGTAGTAATCTGTGGATTTTGAGGGGTATTTATGTCATTTTAGTTTAAAGGAGAGTAGTCGTCGTTTTGTGACTGAGAAATTTCAGAAATTTAATTCCGAAAATAAGTTTAAAAAATGTTATAAATTCGCAAACTTTCAAATTTCGTTGAAAAAATAAATACCAACTTTTCTTAGAACGTTTTAAATTATCAATTTTGCAATTTTTTATTTTAATTATAAATTTTGGTGAATAAAGCAATATAAGCATGTTTAAATATTTTTAAGAAATAGATTAATGCATTAAGTCTTTGATAGACTTAATATATAACCTATGTTGACCTTATCAGTAGTCTGATTACGGAGATGAATAATAACTTCATTATTTCATATTGTGAAAACATTTCATGACAATTTTAAATTGGTTCAGTTAATAATAGTTTGTGATTAATCACCAATTCTTGTTGATTTTCATTTTAATCACAAACTATTAATTTGAAGATCAATCCAACTCTCCATCTTCCCTTACCCATAAAGACTTTGATTTTATCATCGTGCAATATTTCTGAGTTTCCCAAGTTTCTACAAAACCAAACCAGTTTGGATGAGTTAGACATCTCTGCCAATCAAATTGAAGGCCAAGTACCAGAGTGGTTATGGAGACTACCAAAGTTGAGGTATGTTAACATTTCTCAGAATTCTTTCAATGGCTTTGAAGGACATGCGGATGTTATTCAAAGAGGTGGAGGACTATTTATGCTTGACATAAGTTCAAACACTTTTCAGAATCCGTTTCCTTTGTTACCACGCTCTACGTTGGACTTTTACAGCTCCGATATTCAGTTTTCGGGAGATATTCCTTGGACAATTTGCGAACTGGATAATCTTCAAATACTTGTTTTATCCAACAACAACTTCAGCGGTTCTATTCCTCGATGTTATTAGTAGAAATTTAAGTTAATAATAACCAAAATCAGTTTAGTAAAATGAATAAATTAAAGTAGTAAAACAACTAAATTAATGACAATAAATATCTATTTAAGTTAATGTCATAATTTCAACATATAATTTATATATTTGTCATTTCTTTGTTATTTTGACTATATTGTTATGTTTTGCTTATATTTTGCTTATTTTTTGCTCATTTTTGTCTATATTTTTCTAAGCCATCACTAATTATTCTATTGTCATTTTCTGTATAAATTTTGCATTTGTAATTAATAATCCTAATGAATTAGGATTGTAAAAATAATTTGTTAGAGAAAAGTAAGAGATTCGTTTAACTAGTGATTTTTTTTTCTCATTTCTTTCACATTTAGAATTTGATACCTTCTCCTAGACTTCATTGATTCCGGTGGAGCCAAGGAAGAAGTCATGGGTTTGGTTATTGGCAGGGCTTGTCTTCGTCGCTGCCATTCTCCTCATCTTCATGATGGTTGCAATCCTGGTGATCAGACCCAAGTTCCCGGACTTCAGCATCCATAATGCAGAGCTCAATTCCTTCAACCTCGACCTCGACTTGAAGGTCTACTATGCTTTCGAAAACTGAGACAAGAAGATCAAGTTAAGGTCTGAGAATGGTGCAGCACAAGTCTTCTTCAACAATCATCTGATTTCTAAGCAATTCTTCGAACCTTTCAATGTGACAACTCAAGAGAAGAAGCTTGAAACCCTGACTTTTATCTCAAACGTGATGAGACATTCTGCATGCAAAAGACAATGTGTTGCTTCATCAACAGCTTCAGCTTCAGAACAACAAGCTTGATTTGTAGATCTTGGCGACATTCAAAGTCAGAGTCACTTTGGCATCGTTGCAGTACTACTCATTTACGCTGCTCGGGAGGTGCCAACTTTAGTGGCGGAGCTATGATTTTTGTTTACGAGGGTCATATGAATATATATATATATATATATATATATATATATATATTAATATTTAAAGTATAATTTTTTGTTTAAATGGCCTAGAGAAGATTTTTTCCTCACCTAAAATAAAACTAAATCTAGTTTTCTTAATATAAATTTATATGTAGTATTTAACGTGCTCACTTTTCAAAAAAAAAGATAAATATAGTTCGACTTTTTAATTTATTTTCTGTTCTGTTAAGTAATTTTTATTCTCAAATTTTTTTAATATATTACATTAGTATTTAAAAGTATAATTTTTTGTTTAAATGGTCTAGAGAAGATTTTTTCCTCACCTAAAATAAAACTAAATCTAGTTTTCTTAATATAAATTTATATGTAGTATTTACGTGCTCACTTTTCAAAAAAAAAAGATAAATGTAGTTCGACTTTTTAATTTATTTTCTGTTCTGTTAAGTAATTTTTATTCTCAATTTTTTTAATATATTACATTAGTATTTAAAAATATAATTTTTTGTTTAAATGGCCTAGAGAAGATTTTTTCCTCACCTAAAATAAAACTAAATCTAGTTTTCTTAATATAAAAAATTTTCGTTTTAAAAAAAGCCTACAAAAATTGATAATTTAAAGCTTTTAAAGAAAATTATTTACCTCATTGTAGGCTTTTTTTTATTTTAGTTATAAATTTTTGCTGATTAAAGCAATTTAAGCATGTTTAAATATTGGGGGATTAGCAAAAATACCCCTTTTCTCATGCCCCTTTTCAAAAATGCCCCTTTTAGATGTCCATTTTCAAAAATGCCCCTTTTTAAATCTGAAATTTTTATAAAGTTTTATTAGGTTTATAAGGTACTTATGGATTGTAACTACTACTTGAAGACTCGATCCAAGTATTTATAAGGTTTTATAAGGTGTTTTTAAAGGTTTTACAAGTTATTTTAAATGATTTTTAAGGTTTTTCAAAGGTTTTACAAGATATTTTAAAGGTTTTTAAAGGTATTTAAAATGCATTTATAAGGTATTTATAAGATTTTAGATACATAGAAATGTAGTTTGTGTATGTTTTAATAATATTACATACATATTTGGGTAAATCTTATATTTTTAAGAGCATTTTTTATAAGGTTTTTAAAAAGGGGTATTTTTGAAAAGTGGCATTGAAAAAGTGGCATTATTAACAATTTCCCTTAAATATTTGCTGTCAAAAAAGAAAAAGAAAATAAAGAAGCATGTTTAAATATTTTTAAGAAATAGATTAATACACTAATCTATGTTGATAGACTTAATAATAAGAAATAGATTAAGTCTTTGATAGACTTAATAATAATCTATGTTGACCTCATCAACAGTTTGATTACGGAGATGAATAATAACTTTGTTATTTCATATCGTCAAAATATTTCATGACAGTTTTAAATTGGTTATGTTAATAACAGTTTGTGATTAAAATGAAAATCAACAAAAATTGGTGATTTAAACTTTAAAGAGTTAAAGGGAAAGTTGGTGTTTTAAACCAAATTTTAAAGTTGGTGATTGTTTTGACATTTTTTCCAAAATATTTTTTTTTCTATTTGTAACATCAAATTACTTATTTTTCTATATGAGTAGCTCACGTAGAGATGCTTGAGTAGTTGAGCTGAACAGAAACCAAAAATTGCTTTCGTCATTAATTATTTTAATTTGGTGAAAACAGTGTTTATACCGATAAAGTTGCCAGAATTTGCGCCGTATTCGGAAGAAGTAAAGAAGCGTTGGGGAAGTTTTTCTTCCTTTTTATGTTTTTTTTTAATGGTAACAAGTGTTATTGAGGTTGAATTACAGTCTATGTTATAATTTGATGTAATCTGCAGTAAAAATTATTTGGTATAAACTGTAGACTGATGTAGTAATTTGCTGTAGAAATATGAGTTATCAGTCTGATTAATACAAGTGACTTGTAACTTTTGTGCTTTAAAAGTTGCAGTATATGTTATTAAAACTAATTAAATTAAATATCAATAATAATAATAATATTTCTTAAAAATTAAATAATAAAATAAAATAATACTAAAAAATAGTTAATTTGAAAAAATATTTTTTTTAACATAATAGTTATAAAACAAATGACTTACATTTCATAGCATATTTAAAATTTCATTTGTATTAAATCTAGTCCTATAAATAGTTTTTGATAATTAAATACAAATAAAAAACATAAATTTAAAAATTTAAAGATGTTAAGAAAATTAAGAAATTTAATTACCTATTTTTATGAAATGTTATTGAATAAAAGTAAGATAATAATAATAATTTTTTCTCATTATTCAAATTAATTTAAGATATTTTATTTTAATTTAAAAATAATTTTCGTTTTTTTTTTTAAAGTAAAAATTATAACTCAACTTACCACCTCCTAACTCATAAGAATTTCCATGTTTTTGAGTTAAGTTTTGATTTAGCAATTTTACAAAGAAGATAACTCAAAAATGTAAGTCATTCATAACTCAACAAACTTCAACCTCTAATGCAAAATTTTATAAACATATCATGATTGGTAACATTTTTGAGTTATCTTCCTAATTCAATGATACCACATAATAACTCATGTCACCAACCACACCCGTTAAAACGAACAAACACGGAATGCTCGTGTCCGTTTCTACTCATTATATTTTGTATATGTTTTCCAGAATGATTTTCGTTTTTTTTGATCAAGAAGAAATTTCTTGTTAGTATCATATCTTTTAAAAACGAACAAAATCTTTTTTTTTCCAGAATGATTTTCTAAGTCTTTCCATTAACACAAAAATGTTGAGAAAAAAAGGTGTAGTTTTTATAAGATATTCTCATTAAATTTTGTAATTAACCGAAAGCATATCACCATTTCGAATGACAATATAATTTGGAGATTGAAATGTTTTAATTAAGTTAAGACAAACATCTTAAAGAACATAATTACGCTTTGTTTAATCCTAAAATGTTTAGTTCTAACATACAAATTCACTCAAAAGATATATCTTTCATTTTTTAATCTATATAATCTTTAATTGAAATACTATCTTTTTCATTTCTATCGATTAGTCTTGCAAATTGGTATTCTACGGGGTGTTGTAGCGACACAAC